TCCCTCCATCTGGCAAACCCCATACCCTTTCCTTGGTTTTTCTCTCCTTCCCACCCACCAACCTATCTTTTATCTGCCCCCCAAACTTCAGTTAGATTAAATATTTCTTTACTTCATTTATACCCTGCCTTTCTCTACAAATGAGGACCCAAAACAGCTAACATTATTCTTCTCTCGCCCACTTTATCCTTGCAAAAACTCTGTGAGGTAGGTGAGGCTAGAAGAGAGTGACTGACCCAGCCTATGGTTGCCAAGTGTAACTTACCTCAGCAGCAGGGGACTCCCGGGTGGATCTTGGAGCGCATGCGCGCCGCACGCACGTCACCAGGAAGTGACGTTATGACACCGGGAGTTTCCCCTCGGATGGTCGTGGCCCCGCCCCCAGCATGCCCGGCATCATAACGTCACTTCCTGGTGACGCACACGCTGGGGTGGGGTTCCCCCCGGGGCCCAATCCGCCGGCGGCGGGGAACGGGCCTCTGGGGCGGGGGTTTCCCCGCCTTCCCGGGGGACTTGGCAGCCCTAGCCCAGCCTCACCCAATGAACTTCCATGACAGAGTGGGGATTCAAAACTGGGTCTCCCAGATCCTAGTCTGAAACTCTAACCATTACCCCACAGTGGATTCCATGGGGTGGTTGCTGCTGAACAGAAGCAAGCAACTAGGCCTGAGTGAGTCCCTTGAGTCCCATGGCAGCAAGTTGTGTAGTGGTTGCTGCCAGGCCTGGCCCTCATGAGTCTTCCCTCAAAGGTCAAAATATCCCTGGAAAGGGCTCCCTCCCCCTGCCTTTTACTAACAGATATCAAGGATTGGAAGCTGGCAATACTGTTGTGGTTATCTAGCAACAGCCATAAAGGCTCTGCTTGTGGACAAGGGGGATCCAATATATATTGTTTACCTTGACTTCCAGAAAGCTTTTGATAAAGTTCCTATTTCAGATTTTTTTCAGCAAACCTGGTTTTTTACCAGGTTTGTAGAAAAATCTGCCTTGTCTGTTCATGGTCCCAACCTCCAGATTTAAGTATCCACAGATTCTTCATTTAGAATTAGGTGTATGGCAACATTAGAACAGAACTGGAGACCATCAACTGCAACTACTGCCTCTGCACAGAGTACCCATTGTCTTAAGCAGTTCATATTAGTGAGGTAGTAGACTTTTACAGTATTTCCAGGAATGTATTTATTGTTTAAAAGTGCCTAATTTTGCCCATAATTAATATATTATGTTAATACACGACTGAAGTGTTCAATTTCATTGCTATAAAGTTTAATTCTCAACATCACTCTAGATCCTTCCATTAGTCACCTTTATAAACCCTATTCCACTTTGTCAAAGAGCCGGTTTTGCCCACAAATACCCTAAATAAATCCTAACAGTAAAATTCCCATGACCTCTTCATATGTTATGTTGTATGAGTGCTGGATCATTAGTGTTTCAGAAAATTAACACTGCAATTGTATGGACACTTATTTGAGAATGTCTCATCGCTGAACTAAGTGGGTCTTTGGAATAGATGTGTCTATGGCAGGACTGAAGTCCTCACTCTTGGAACTTAAAACTTCTTAAGTTCAGAGACACAGAGGACGTGCAGCCCTAATCTATACACACTTTGTTTAACTGGTCAAAAAAGAAGAGCTTTTCTTTTTTATGATTTGGGGGAAATGGACAGTCAAAAATCTGCCTGTCCATTTCTCAAAAGATAAGCTCCCTCTTTTACGCTCGTCAAGCACCTCTATTTTAAAAAGCTTTATTAGCATTTTAATAACTGTCCTTTCAATAATTTCTTTGTTTCCTTGATTGAATGCTTGGTTTAGCATAATCCTGCTAGGCAAAAGTTTTCATTTATCGACTGCCCATTCCAATTACAGATTACATCAGTCAATCAAACACAGAGAGCATGACTTCTCCATATCAAAATTGCCCACGACCATCAAATGAACACTATTTAAAGATGAACTAAAGACTACGAGATGTGTTACATTTTCCTTAACCTCCAAGTTTCCACAGGCTTAAGGAAACACATATATCTGCAATGTTTAGAAGTGCCAAAGAACAGTGTCTCACCCTCTTATATACATACAAGGGGCGACCTGCGATACTCGCGGGAGGGAGGGAGGGAGCTCCACACTGAGGAGGAAGAGGAGGAAGCAGCAGGAGGAGGTAAGTTCCCCCCCATCCCGCCAGTTCCTCCCATCTCCTCCACCCCCCCTGCACCCCCGGCTCGATCTCACCCCC